CCAGCATTCATCCCTTCCCACGAAAACATCCTACTGGGCGGCTCAATCTAATTCGTAGCCTGGAACCACAGAATTTTAAGTTCACAGGCTGTGGCACCCACGCCGCCACACCTCCCCTAAAGCCCGGAGAAATAGCGGTTCCGGGCAAGGGCCTTCTGCAGCCGCTTGGGAAGCCGGCTTCTCGCAGCCTGAAACTCCGCAGTGAACACATTCTCGCGAGACTAGCGGTCTGGGCTAGTGGGCCTGGAGGTTCCCGGAAGTGGACGAGAGGCAGGTCCACTCCCACCTAAACCAGTGCTCGCCTCGCCCGGTCTAATCTGGGCCTCTGGGGGACCCGCGCGAGGTGGAGTCTCGGAGACGCTCCCCGCTGGTCTCCGGGTGCTGGCGCCACCTCCCCTCCCTTTGCCCTTCACCACGCCCTGCCCTCCCTGGGCTGCGGCGTTTCTCTACGGCTGGGCAGCCGGCCTGTCCCCTTTTGCTTGCCTTCCCGTGCCCTCCCCAGAATAGCGCCAGACCCGGGGTTTCCCAGATGTCGCCTGTATAACTTGCTCACCGTAAGTGCTAGGAATGCTGCTGGCCTCCCGGAGAAATGCATTCTTTCTATCTATAGCTCGCTCTGTCCATCCTATGTCTATTACAGCTATTCCAGGGGCGACAACTGCTTTCCTCTGTTCTCATCTCCCCATTGGTGGCTTCTGAACCGAATTTGGGAATGGGGCGATCTCCCACCTGTTATCTTTGAGCAGACTAATCTCCTGTAAGCAGAAGTGCCATTTGGAGACTTGACAGCCCTTTGGCCTGAGACCGGGGAATTTTTCCCCTTGAACTCCGGGCTTTCTTAAATAGTACCGCTTTTCTCTGAGAATGCTTTAAGCTTGTTTGGTTTTGTTATGTTTTATTTGTAAGAATTGACAATACAGTATATTTGCTTCAGTCTTCCTCATTGTGCTTTAAGGGAAGAGAAAATAATTTGCCTTCTCAGATCTTCTTTATAAAATTCCTTCTTATTGCTCTGCTAGAATTAAACCACATTTGGAACATGTAAGTGCAGCTAGCTGTCAGCCCTGGAGAGTTTAAGGTAATAGTTATTTTCTTTTTTGTAATTCCTTTTTTTGTGTGTCACAGGGGTAACTCATTTGATTTTGGAGTTCCTTTAATTCTTCTGAAAGATTTCAAAGCCTCCAGAATCCAAAATGGGACACGGTAAACAGATTAGAATTTTACTACTGAACGAAATGGAAAAGCTGGAAAAGACCCTCTTCAGACTTGAACAAGGTCAGTAGCAAGTTGTTTGAATAGCTCCTTTGTGTCTTTTAAATTTTAACTCATTAATGGGCAATTAAAAATTTTATTGGTTCTTCTTAGTTATACAATTTAAAATTTTTAAAACTTTATGTTAGGGACTGGGATGATGTCTAAAGTAGTAGAACTTGAGCTTGACATGAGTAAGGCCTTAGGTTCAATCCCCAGCGCCAAACAATAAAACTTTGAGTTAGATACAGTTTTCTAGGATCTTAATATTCTGCAGATTAAACTAATTATAGTTGATTTTAGTTAAAAGTGTTTTATATCTGTCATGTAAGAACAAGGGTAAAATAGGTCAATTTTCCCTCTGTGCAAACTCCCACATTAATGACTACATTATTTCTGATAGCATTTCTTATTAAAACTTAGTGAAAATACTTTATATATAATTTTGCTGAGTATATCTGTAACTTTGGTTTTTTTATAGCTCACTCTTTTCCTTTACTGAACCTCTGAATTAGTAGAGTACAGCAAAAATATAATAAACTATTTTTTATATTAATCAAAATGCTCTCAAATGTGGGGAAGATAAAAGCTGAAAATAGTTTCTTGCCAAATAAAAAATAGCCAATGAAATTATGCTAATCTAGTTAAGCTGTGATTTAAAAGATCAAATTGTGTTTCTATAAAACAGATTCATAGATGCTGTATTTTCTTAAGTTTTGTAATTTTTCAACATTGAAAAACTTTCCACATGATTTTATGTAATATAATTTGTGAAATAGAAATTGAATATATGAAAAATAAATACAGCTCCCCCTTACTGGTGTACCAAATGGACCATGATAATCATTTTGAAGAAATTTTGTAATATCTATAATATTTGAAGAATTAAATTTTATTTTTCTTTGAATTTCAGCCATCTCATGTGTTACCCCCAATGCCAACCCTCCTCTTCTTCCAACTTGGTGTGGCACTTAAGATCACCAAGTACTTACTCCATTTTTGGCTTTCCTGACTCTGCACTTTTCTGGTTTTGACTATTTTTTCCTCTTTTCCCTCTTAATATTCCTGTCAACTTAATGTGTCTCACTGGACTCCCTTCTACATTTTAATTAATTGCAAGTATCTGCTAGGAATCCTTTTTTTCTGTTCCCCTAGCCTCAAAGAATTATGCATTCTTACTGCCTCAGCTGTTTCCTCTGTGCCAAGAACTCCTTAAAAGAGGTCCTTGAGTTTTGCTTTCTTCATGGAAGCTTTTGAGTACAGTGTAATGACAAGTGTAAGGAATCAGCATTTTCCTGGCTCTGCTGCTAACAAATTATGTGTTTTTTGTCAAGTTACATTTTTAGCATTAATTCCTCTATTTGTGAAATAAAGATATTCTGCCCTTCTACAGAAGGGCAGTTAATAAATACTTGCTGATCGATCACTACAACTCTGATTAAATGTACCAAAACTTGGCAAATTCAGCTAACCTGTTTGAAGAGGGAACTGTGAAGTTCTTATGAAATAAGAATGATGTGGTTGACTTTGTAACTCTAGTTAAAAAACAGTAATTTCGTCCAAATGCTATGAATGGGAATATGTCACTTTTTTTGTAGTGATCATATTATTTTAGAAGACAATTTGTAATGTGAAGGATGAATTAAAGAGAGGGAACACTGGGACAAGAAATCATCCAGTAGGCTCTTTTAAAAAACCTGTCTGGGGGTTGGGGTTGTAGGTCAATGGTAGAGTGCTTGCGTAACCCATGTGAGGCACTGGGTTTGATACTCAGTATAAAAGTATTGTGTCCAATTAAAAAAAAGCTTAAAAATGGTATCTGGTTAAAGATAAGGATTTAACAATATCAGAGTTGCAAAGGGGGACAGAATGAGACATTTTAAAATACATAGGACTTAGTAACCAGTTAGAGTGAAAAAACTGGGAATTTTTAGTTTTTTCATAGTTAATTGACAAACAACCAAACCCTTCTTCATTTTTCTTTTCTTTTTTCCCTAAAAGAATTTATCTTCATTTTCAAGACTGACATCTCTGTAGATTCTTTTAATTCAACAAGTAGAAGACTGAATAATTATTTTCTAGCCAAAGCATGAGTCTTTCCATTTTATTTATCTCACTTAGTAGCAGAATAATGAACATAATAAGTATTCTCCATATTTGGAATTCTTCCATCTTTTATATAGGTTGGTTAAATTTATCATTTTTC